CTACTGCTACTACTACCACTATTACTACTACTACTGCTACTACTACTACTACTACTACTACTGCTACTACTACTGCTACTACTACTACTACTACTACTACTACTACTATTACTACTACCACCACCACCACTTCTGCTCCCAGCACTGCCTTCGCTAGAGTCACGAACTTGACCACCACCACGGCAATGACCGACCACCACCCCAGCACGACCGCCACGAACTCCACGAGCACCACGACGGCACGACCACCACGATCACCATGAGCACCATGACCACAATGACCACCACGACCACCACGACCAGCAACAACTACCATTACGACTAGCTCCACCGCGCCCACCGCTTGGACGACCACTACCACAACCAAGACGTTTATCGCCAGCGGCACTACCGGCAATACGTCTCGATGAACGCTACTAAGCCTGAATTTCTGCTAGTTTGGTTTCGCGGTGCGAGGAAGGCACAACTCTCGGTATGGACAAGCTGCTGTTTGCTGCTGGCTAGTGCAGCTTTGCGTGGAGGTGGCTCATCGGAAGGCCAGCAATCAGTAAGTTGTGCCAAGAGTTTGGCAAAGCACTAGCGATGCTACCTATACGACCGGTAGTTACTTGAAGTAGTTGCACATCCAAGGGCAGTATGAGGTCCGGTTTGGGGGGCAGGCCCTGAATCCCGACTGCCAAACCCCAGGCCCTAAATAACAAGGTTCCCAATTCGCTACGATGACGGACCGTTGGGAAGGTGGTCCGAGACCCAGGTTCGAACATTCAGACGTCAGTTAGTTCATTAGTTCAAGTATACTTGTCAAAGACCACATAACTTGCGGCGGTATGCAATTCCTCAATTTTGAAGCGACTTTGTATATGTGTCTGAATATGCATTTATGCACAGCCTGCCATGCTATTTTGTGTCTGTTGCACTCTGTGAGCATGTAGCACATCGCAAGTTCGGCGCATTGCTGTTGCTGCGCTGCCATCTTTGGCTGTAGCTTGTCGGGTGACCGTGACCTGTGGGGTCCAATTTCGCGGAATGTTTCAGATACGTTCGCTGGACAATTCTATGATTATATATCCCAGTTTTGATGTCGTATGTGATAGATTGCGGGCTATGTGCTGTTCGGTCTTTGATTTTGATGGGAGAAGTTTCTCTTTCCGAGTCGCCATGTCAGGAAAGAGGGTGCCACGCCTGTTTACAACAACAGCGGCTCACTCAGAGAAAGTGTCCCACGGTTCTCCAGGAAGTCCTTCAAAACGGATCGGTGTGGCGGAGAGTGGGCACCAGTCTAGACGTGCGGGGACAATTGAGTGCTGTAGAGTCTCTCCCTGAACCCTGAACCCTGAACCCTGAACCCTAAACCCGAAACCCTAACCGGTCTGCAGGCGAACTGGTGTTGATGGGCGGCTGCACAGAAACCTCTGTGAAGTTTGCAAGGCTCCCGCTTCCGCCAGGGCTGGCTCTGATTCCCAGTGTGTCTCTGACAGGAATGACCTCTGGGTGCGAGCCTGGAGAAGAGCTGCATGCGGTGGGGGTTTGCAAAAAGCAAAAAGCATATGAAGACGAGGTCTTTACACCAGTTCGAGGTGGTGGCTCGTGGCGCAGGGTACACACGTCCAATCCACCAGTCGCCAGGCTGGGTTATCCTTGCTTGCATGCACTCAACCCGTCGAGCCAAGTCGTCAGACCCCCAACTATTTGTGAGGCGTGGTCATGTCCTCGTGGCCAACCGTTCGCACCTGATCATGTTCGGTGGCAAGGCTTGGGCACGGTTGAGCCTGTTGTGGTGCCATCTCCCGAAAGCCTCTCTGTTGGTGGCCAGACGACTCATCGTCGGGAAAAGAGGTGGGACGCTGGAGAAGGGAGCTCTTGCTTCGTCCAAACGGCTCTCCGTGCATGACAGGGCTTTCGAACAGATGGAAGAAGATATCCCAGATTTGGATTACACGCCACAGTCACCCTCTGAGTCTGATTGTCCAACTTCTGTTCTCCTTAACCTGAAATCCTCCCCCTGGGAAATCAGACCTCCCAGGCCGGGGGAGAAGTGCCTGGTTGACCTGTGGGTCATCTCCAAAGCCCGAGCCAGAGACTCCTCGTAGCTTCGGAGCAGACAATCTCAAGACCCACCCTCCTGCACTCTACGGCCCAGAGAAGCTGGTCCTTCTCTGGTGTCATAGTATCTGTGCAGGATTCATGCAAGATTTTGAAGTTAGCATCCACAGTTGTACATGCTGTACGTAAAGTTTCTCTGCATCAGAAGGTCTGACTTGTCAGTGTTTAGCACCAACACATAGTCAGGTATGGAACCACGTTTGATGAAGCAGCGTTGCGGGAACGTACCGTTGTGCCCATGAACACAAGCACATCTACATGTTTGTTTGCCTGAACATATGATTGTACGTCTGCCTGTATGCACAACTTAGCTCTGTTAGTTGCAGATCTACTCGTTCGACTCTTCGGCTTCTTGCCCGAAGCCTTTTCGATTTCCCAGTCTGTTCAGTGCACTAGGCCTGTGGCCATTATCGCAGTATATGTCCTGGATCGGTATATGCGTACACATGTACGTACATATGTGTGTATATATGTGTATGTACATATGCAGATATTCAAAGCAATATGTTATATACATGCGCATGTATACGCATATGTGTACATATATATATATATATACATATATATATATATCTGCAGATGTATGTATACGTGTTTGTGTATGTATATGTGCGTATATGTCTGTATATACATACATATATATATATATGCATATTTTCCATATATATATATATTTGTATGTATCCATATATATATATATGTACGTATACATATACTCCGTCTTTGTAGTTTTGTGTACATAATACGCATATATCTGTATGCCCGCAGATGTATACACGCACGTATACATGTATGTGTACATAGGTATCTGCGCGTGTATACATACTTACTTACATGTATATATATATATATGTACACATGTATATATGTACAAATGTATATATGTATATGTGTGTACATGTAATACGGGTGTGAGCTATATAGGCATAGGTATACATACATGCAAATGTATGTACATATCTATATATGTATGTATATGTATGTATATGTATGTATATGTATATATGTACATATGTATAAATGTATAAGAAATTTATAAGTCTATAAGTCTATAAGTCTATATGTCTGTCTGCATGCATGCATGCATGCATGCATGCATGCATGCATGCATGCATGCATGCATGTATGTATGTATGTATGTATGTATGTATGTATCTATGTGTGCATGTCTGTATGTCCGAATTACTGACAAGCCATTCATTCATCGGTCTATAGTCGGCCCCAGGATGAGGTGCTGAAAGGCAGCTCCGCGGAGAAGCCTCCTAGGTTCCGCGTGCCATGTCTTGCGATTTCGGACTCACCGCGAAGTGAGTCAACAGTGCACATGGTATGGTCGGTCGGCTTTGCAAGCTGAAGCCATGCAGGTGGCAGGAAGGTGCGCCATTCCCGGCGGGATGCAGTTGCTTGGCTTCAGGGGGCAGGGAGGAATCAAAAGCACATCATGGCTTAGAAGAACGCCCCCTTCAGGATGGGGTGGCACTGGTGTTTGAAGCTCAGCCTTCCGCACCGCTCAAGTGGAGTGCTGCGTGCATCGGACAGCCGAGTCTTTCCTTCGCGACCATCTCGGAAAGACCCTCGGCTGCCTCAACATTGGCATGTTGCTGGGCTTCCTGGTGACACTGGTCCTTTCTGCTTCCAGCTTGCAGGAAGTACTTGGCCATGTTCGGTGGTCGCCACTTGAGTGCCGGAAGTGCCTGGCACTGAGACCACAGGAACTTAGCTTCGTGTGTTTCATTGCCTCTTGGTACAACTTGGCCGCTCAGGTGGAGCACAAGGCGAAGAGTGCCTGGGACCGAGTCGCGAATGCATGCAACGGGTTGCCACCTTGGATTGCTCGCCGAGAAATATGTGTACTACAACGACCTGTGGCTCTACGACTTCACGCAGGCCGCATTTTCCACAAAAAGCTTGTCTTCTTCATGACCGTACTAAGCACCGGAAAACCGTAAGCTCGAAGCTTCTCCAAGCTTCCGTGATTCTGCTTCTTGAGCTGCTCCCTTGGAGGATGGTTGGTATGAGGCCCCCACCAAGGGTGCCAGGCGGGAGCCGCGGCAGTAGGAGGAGTTCAGGGTTTCGGGACGAAAGTCTGGGGAGGTTCAATGAGGTTCAGGTTTTCTGTTGCGGAGGGTTTGGGGTTTGTTGTTCAAATGTTTAGATTGTGTAAAGTCTCGGTTTCAGCAGCTACCCCAACGGGCGACTAACCCCGTGAATTGACGAATCTGCTCAATGAGTGCGGCTTGAAAGGCCTCGTTTCCACACAGCGTGCTAAGCCTAAACCCTCAACTCTACCCTAAACCCGACCTGTTTCCCAAGAGGCCTTCAATCAACTTCGCAAGTTTCCAACCTTGTTCCGCAACGTCAAGCATCTACTCAATCTAATCTCCTGGAGAGGCCCTGCCCTCGCGATCATCACGGAGCAGCCACCTTGAACGACAAGCTTTACGTGCGCCCGGCCCGGTCTAGTCAGACTCAATTTGTAACGCTGCGTCCTGCAGTTCGGCGCCGAACTCCATTCCCATGGGACAAGCGTCACAAACTCTTTTGCACTCTGTCGTAGCATTCTGATGGCAGATCTACGGCGGCCGGCGGTCCGAAGAGCGTTCGGGAGACGCTGTCTTGGCTGACGTTTGGAGCCTTTGCCTGAGCGAGTTTTCACCATTTCCACACCTGGCCTTGTGATGTCGTAGGAGCGGAGAATCTCTGACCTATGTGTGTTATACACATATATACATATATATATATATGTGTATATGTATATATATATATGTATACATTTAGGTTTCTCTATAGATACATCAATACATAAGGATATTTATGCATAAATAAATAAATATGTATATATATATATACACACACACATCTATACACATGCACACAAGCACACACGTATGTATGAACATGGCACAACACACACAGACAAAAGATGTACTTCTGTGTGTATATGTACGTATGTGAGGTATAGAAGCACATAGGTGCATGCATGCATAGATACCTGCGTGCATGCATACATGCAAACAGACATACATCTACATACATGTAATGTGCATGAGCACACATTGGGATAAACGGAGATATGTAGATGTACATATGTACGTATGTACATCCGCAATCACGCGCAGACGTACGTACGGACAGGCATGTGCACGTACACGATGCTCGCATACATACACACACACATATGTACATACATACATCATACATGAAGTATCTACGTTAGATTTCAGTACAGTGCAGGACAGGACGGTACGGTACAGTACGGTACAGTACAGTACGAGTGTGGTTTGCAGGTGCAACTACATCCTTGACACCGGAGAATTAGCGCTGGACACTACTCAGTGGCGATATGCAGGGCTCGCACAGTTTCAATCTTGACACAACATGCTACCGCCTGCACTGCAATGCATTGTATTCGCTCGTCTTCGTGTTTGGATGGCATCGTGCCAGCAAGCGTATCTGTGCTTCAGGCCCCATGATGTCATGAGTAAGGGTCTTGGGGTGCCAAACCAGTACGCGATAAAACCTAAGGAACATCAGCGTAGGTAGGTGTCTGTGTGGTGGGTGTGTATGTAAGTTTGTTTGTAAGTAAGTATGTATGCATGTATGTTTAGGCATGTTCAAAGACCTGTGCACATGCTACATGCATACATATATGAGAGTTTGCGTACATAGTTAAGCGGATATATAGATAACATTCAGTGCATGTATGTGTATGTAGGCATATACACATTATATATTTATGTGTGTATACGGCTTTATGTAATTATACTTATGTGTATATACACCTTTATATGCGTACATGTAGACATTCATATATATATATACACATGTATACATATATATATAATTATATATAAATA